GCATTTGGACAACGCTCAGACGCATGATCTGATTTTTTTTTTTGTGGTCTTTCGGGTACCCAGGAGTCAGACTTGATGATCCGTGTGGGTCCCTTCCAACTTGGAGGTTCTATGGGTCTATCGGACCCTAAGCATTTAATGAAGTGGGAGAACATTCTATGATAACATCAGTGCTCTTGGTGCTTGTTTTCTCTTCCAACTATGGCTGTTCAAAACACAGTCTTGAGAGCTCTGCGATTGCCCAAGACTGTTATTCGTTTACATTTTTCCTTTCACTGTCAGGCTGGTGAGTAACTGAATATCCCAGAGTGAAGCTACTGGTAATCGGGAATTCTTCCTTCCCAAGAGGGAGAACAAGGCTAATATGTTTTCCCTTGGCTATGGGAAGCCTGGGCTGCATCACAGTCAGCAGATGGAACTGGGTGGAGGGCTGGAAAAAGGCTGGAATAGGCTGGAAAAAACATGCCCTAATGAGAAAGATTTGAGGGTGTTGGTGGATGAGAAGCTCAATGTGAGCCAGCAACGTGCGCTTGCAGCCCACAAAGCTAACCATATCCTGGACTGCATCAAAAAGGAGTGGCCAGCAGGTTGAGGGAGGTGATTCTCCCCCTCTGCTCTGCCCTCATAACACCCAGCCTGGAGTACTGCATTTAGCTCTGGGGCCCCCAGCACAAGAAAGACATTGAAGTATTAGAACAAATCAAGAAGAGGGCCAGAAAGATGATCAAGGGACTGGAGCACCTCTCCTGTGAAGACAGCCTGAAGGAGTTGGGTTTCAGCCTGGAGAAGAAAAAGCTCCAGGGAGACCAGGAACTTTTCAGTAACTAAAAAGGGAATATTTGTCTTATCACTAGGACCCGCTGACAAAGGGGAATGGCGTTAAACTAAAAAAGGGTAGATTTCAGATTAGACATTAGGAAGAAGCTCTTTAATGTAAGGGTGATGAGGCTCTGGAACGGGTTGCCCAGAGAAACTGTGGATGGCTTGGATCCCTGGAAGTGCTCAAGGCCAGGCTGGATGGGGCTCTGACCAACCTGGTCTAGTAGTAGGTTTCCCTGTCCATGGCAGGGGGATTGGATTTAGATGATTTTTAAGGTCGCTTCCAACCCAAATCATTCCTTGATTCTATAACAGAAAGCTGCTGGGGAATGCCACTGACAGTCCTCATCTCTTGACTGTGACCTTGTGCTCACTGCTAATAACGCAGGAAAGGGAGGAGGTGACATACAGCGGGTGAAGATGAAGTGTTCAGCATGTATTCAGGAAGTATGACCCTCAAACAGGGATCAAATACTATTTGGCAATGGCATTGTTTAACTTGGCGGACTTGGACCTGCTTAGCTCAGGGCGTGTGTAGGTCAGGACTGATGGTTAGCAGAGTTTGTGAAGCTCCTTGCCCAGGGATGCACTGCTACTGAAGTGCCTGAGCTGCTGTTACCAGGTGGCTCAGTTAGCACAGCAAACTGCACGAGATGATGAATTATGAGTAAGTCCTAGCTCCTGTCTTGGCTCTGCTGTACTGAATGACCTGAGGTCCTGCCCTTTGTCCTCACTTATTTCAGTACCGTGTTCCTCCCTTTCTCATCTTCCATCCCAGCAGGATGGTGAGGGCTCATCATGTGACCCCTGAACAGTGCTTTGCAAATGGCTAGCATCTGTACTGTTACCAAAATCGTCCAAGTAACCCAGGCTCTGTTGCTTTGGTACCTACAACTCTCTCTCCTATGAGAATCTCCACAGCCTGCTGTTGCCTTATGCTCTGCTGCAGACAATAAATGAAACAGACAACCAAAAAGGGACCTGGAGTGAGGGACAGGGCAATCTGATGACATTCTTTATATGTGAACAAAGTACGTAATAATGACCAGAGGAGGAACAGTTGCTCTCTAGGCAAGGTGAGTACAGAAGCAGTGATAGGGAGGATGCTTTGTGCCATGACATCCTGGGAATACTTCTCACCAGGCTTGTAAATGTAAATCTGTGTATCCTAGGATCTAGCTACTGTACCCATGGTACCATGGGTGCCTCTCACAAAGGATTGTACAAGTCACAGGAGCAGTGCAGGCAGCTCCTTGGCTACACCTTTTTACCAGAATCTGAGTGCAGCAAAAACTGCGTCGATGCTGGTGATCTCACTGCATGTGCTGGAGATGTGGATTTCAGATGACAGCTTGCATTCCCCTTCACTGCTTGACAGGCTTAGACCTGCAAGTCTGCTAGCAGGAAACAACACGGGCTGCTCCGTGTGGGGCAGATGGCACATATGATCATGTAGTGCTGTCCTGGAAGAGAGCCAGGGCAGAGTTCTGCTTCTGCCTTACGTGGCTTTCCTTGGAGGAAAGTTTGCCATCCGTTTGCAAAGTCCAGCAGCTGGCTGGACGAAGCTGCCTGCTGCTAGCTCCAACACCGGCACACTGGTGCTCAGTGCTGCCTGCCCACTGGGGAAGGCACTGCATTTATCTGTCACGGTAATTTTTACTACACCAAACAGGCAGTGAAGTTAAGTCAGCGTAGTTCAAACTGATGAGGAGCTTCAGAACCTGGTCTTGGCCTCTGAGTCATTCCTGGAAAGACAATTTCCTTGCTCCTGGTCCCTGAAGCATGGACGCAACAGGGCACATGATAAGCCCTGATGGATTGCTAAGCTGGCACTGTATAGATTAATTAATGTTCTTAATAGGAAAAGAGACAGACTTCTGACGTTCCCATCGAGAGGAATTTCCTATTTTTAGACATGCTGCTGGTTCACATGGGATGGGCAGGGCAGGAATGCCTGCCATATCTTCTGTATTTGTACTTTCCCTCTCAAATTTATGACAGAAAGCTGCTTTGCTACCCCTTCCCTTCCCTGACTCTCACTGACACTCTGATCTGAGGGTCTTAAAACATACATCCTACTGGCAAATAGTGGGGGGAGCAGAGCTACCCTCCTCCCAACAGTTAAGGAACTGGGAGGTCTCTTGGGAAATCTCTCCCAGGTTTTGCGACATTCCCAAGTGAAATCTGAGCAGGCTGGAAGGTAGAGAAGGGCAGAAGCATTTTGTTGCATCAGCAGTTTTTGGCACTGTCTTGTTTTCTGTCTAGAAAATGCGTTATTGCTCTGTCTGCCTCCAAAACCAATCTGCTGATCAGGGCAGCTGGCTTGCAAGCCTAGTGGCAAATGCACCAGGCTCACCACTTTCTGTGTCTCTGCCACGACAGGCAGAAGGCAAGCACTCCCTTTCAAACACTGGCTTCCTTGAAAAAAGCTTAAGCTAATCCCTGGCAACAGCCCTTCCTAAATTTAAGCACCTCAGCCCTCTTCTGACTTTCTGCTCCCTGGGCTGGATCCCCTGCAGACAGAAATCAGTGGAGCTCTTCCTGCTGCAACAAAGTTATGTTGATCTAAACTGGATAAGGAGCTTGTCCTCCAGCTATTGGAAAGCCACCTGATGTGGCCCACGGAACCAGCTTCGGGCTGTCCTGGCTATGTGTGAGGGTGCAGTGAGATCCCACCTACCCTGTACTTTGGGCTGCTCCCAGATGCTCAGGAGGTGTTTGTTGCCTTGGGTCAAAGTGCACCACCTGTAACTTTCCTAACAGCACACAACTGCGTACCAGCTGTGTTCTGGCACTGCTGGTATTTACTGGTGTAGCCACAGGAATGGGACACCAAGGCAGCAGTTTTTTTTTTTTTTTTTATAAAGAAAATGAACAAAAGTGGTTTTTCCTAAGCAAGTTTTCATCACATTAATAGTTCCAGAGAGAACAGTGCGCTTTCTGTAGCTGCTTTTTGACTGAAAAATGTTTATACCATATAAACTTTGATTATCTCTGCTTTGAAACATTTTCTGTTGAAGGGAAGAATGCTTACACACCTCTGATGAAGGTGTGCGCATCTTACTACCTTTTGGATGTCTGGAAGGAATTAAATCTCCTAGCAGTGCTAAGACCCATGTTGGAAAAGCTTAATGTGAGTCTTAACTAACTCTGTCTTTTATAGCTTTATTGATGCTTCTTTAGTTGAGCACCCTACGGTGGAAGATCCCAGTAAAATGAACAATTGCTGGCTCTGTACAAGGTAGTTCCTTGATGAAAGAGAAAAGGAAGTTTTCAAGAGCAATTTCAATGCACAAGTGAGTTATAAAACTGAATCAACAGAAATCTTATGGGACAGAACACTGAGATATGGGAAAGGCTTCAGTACTTTTGAGTAGCGCCTGTGCTGCTGAAACTTAATTGTGCATTGCTAATAGGCAGTGTGAGTGAGAACTGATCTCCTCAAACTCAAACGTGTGTGTCGTCATCATGTCTTCACTACTTTCGGCTTCCTTCCACTAAAATGCTGTACAGTTATCAGGTTTATCTCAGGAACCTGTGAGAAATGTGAACTATGCCACCATCATCCTACAGAGTAAGGAAATGACTGCAAACAGTAGGTTCAAAGTATGGAGATATTGCCCACTTCAGAGGGTCACCCTGAGCCATTTAGAAACTTGGAGCTATTCATTAGTATTAGTATACGAATATCATTTAGTATCCCCACTATTTCCAGATTTGCAACTGCAACAAGGAATGTGAGTGCCAGCTTAGCCCTTATCCAGTCCAGCACTACATTCAGGAAGCGTGGGCACTGTAAGAAACCTGCGAGGCCGATTGGAAAGAAATCAGGTTGATTGCCATGCAAGCCTTGCCTAGGGCTCATCAATAGGTCGCTGAAAGCAATTGCTTCTGCAAAGTAGACAGGTATTATTTGACACTTTCTGATGGAAATCTGTTCTGCTAGGGAATACTAAAGAGATATAAGTATTGCTGACACTGTCAGCAACCTTACCTGATGACATTTAAACTCTCTGTGGCAGATAGCAAATTAAGTTCGAAGGAACATCAGTAGTCATGGCATCTCTCTGAGGCCCCGACTGCTGTTTCTGCCTAGAATTTGTACAGCTTCAGAGGAAACCCACATAGTCCATTCAATTTTAACTACCGTGATTTGGAAAAGAACTGAACTTGGGACTTACCTCTGCTAATTCTCTGTTTTTCTCCAGAAAGGATTCCGGGTGTATCAATGACACTGATGCTCTCTAACACAGGGTTAGGTAGCTGGGCACATACAAACCTGTGCAAAAATAATTCGGTTTAAAATAAAACCAAAGAAGTACTCATGATGCATTGAACATTACAGGCAACATGGGACAATCCAGGCTCTGATCTCACAAGTCTTCAGTTAGAATTAGTCTTGATTTAAATAAATGAAATAGCTGCCAGAACTGAGCGCTTTCTCTGATTATTTTGGCTTTTCTGGAACATGAGTCTCTGTCATGACCTATGACGTGAGTCATTTTTTCTATGTCCCCAAAATTGTGAGAAAAACAATTCAGAAATCCGTATTTGTTTTTTTCTGTTCGTATTTTAGCAAGAAGTGGTATTTCATTTTCTTCATTCTGCTGCAGGGACATGAACTCAAATGAATTGAAATAACTCATTTAAATAAATTAAAGTTGTAGGTTTTTTTTTTAATCTACTTTTAAATCTGGTCTTAGAATGTGTGCTATTCTTGCACCATGGAAGCCCTAAAATCTGAGCAACATGAGATCTCAAGAATCTTAGTCTATCTTCCTGCTTCAAAGCAGGGTCAATCAGATGTTTGTCTGAAGTGTTTGTCAAACCCATGATGCAGATTCAACAGCCTTTGCTGGGACTCTACTCCATTTCTTAATTATCCTTACAGCAAAATCTTTTTCTTAATGTCTTAATCTAGATCTCCCATGCTGCAATGCATTTTAGTCTCAAACACAGTAGACAAGGTTTATTTTTCCCCTCTTGCAGCAACATATACCTATTGTTATTGCATCTCCCCTCAGCCTTTCCTCTAAAGGAAACCAGACTCTTTTCCATCTCTTTCAGTTCCCTGTAGCTGCCTTTCTAGTTCATTTTCCAAGTCACAGCAGGCCTTTGCAGCTTTCCTTCAGATTCTTCTCAAGTTGTTCCACATACATCTTCTGGCACGATGTGGTATTCCAGCTGTGGCCTGGCCAGTAGTGACCAGATTGGATGAATTGCTCCTTCTCTCTTACATAAGACATTTCTGTTTGTATGTCTCAGGAAGGTATTTACTTCTCTCACAGAAGTATGACACTGTTGACTCACACTAGGTTTGTAATTCACTCACTCGTTTCCCCTCCACAGCTCCATTTCTGCGCAATTCCTCTTCACCTAGTTGTTCACCATCTTATGCCTACACAAATCCCTAGCTGAGAAGAGCACTTTGTGCTTATTCTTAGAGGGCTGCAGCTCATCTCTTTCAGTCATTGCTAACAGCAAAAACATATCTGCTCGCATGGCTCCTGGTTGCATTTTGTGGACAGCCTTTTTGTGACAGCATACCGAGCAGCTATAAATATATGTGTCTATGTATGTACGTATATTAATAGGCTGGTGTAACACTGAGGCATAAAAAATGGTGCTGTGGGAGGAAGCAGAACCACAGAAGGACTGGAGTTGACATAATGGCCACTAGATGAGTCAAGGCAGACAGAGCCTCTGCTGGTTTCTGATGAAATCCCTGCAGCAGTGAACTCCTCCACAACCTCACCTCAATTTTTTCCACTTGTAGGACTCTAAGATCATTCTGACAAGAATGAATCCTCATGGGTCAGAGAATTGCCTTCATTCCTAAGCTATCAGATATTTCAATGCAAATATTTCAGCCTCTTTCCACCATCCACAGCTTGACAGGTGGCAACAGGCAGCATCTTTGAAGGTGTAACACCTTGTGTAGAAAAGGGGGCTGGCTTAGTTCTCCCGTCAGGTGCCAGGCTTAGAAGCAGAGAACAAAGGCTCCAGAGGTCACAGACGAGGGGATCTTCCATAGGTTTCTCTAGGAAAAGTACTCCACAGGAAATTGCAGATAGAAGGTCAGAGGCTAGCTTTATAAGTGCATTCTGGCTCTGTTGGCAATGTTCTTAAGGATGCTGTCTTCCAGCTGTCCCCACAGAACTGCAGGTACCTCAGAGAGCATGACCCAATTCTGTCCTGGACTGCACTAAGGGATGCGTGTGGTGCCAAACTGGCCTTTCATTACCCCTACAGGGAGAGTATGGGGGTGAAGGAGGAATTGTTATCCATGATGTCTCTTGTTGCTGACAACAAAAAAACAGAAACAACTCTACCTCAGCTCCCTAAAACAGACTACCAGGGTTGGGAATAATCTTGCAGCCATCAATCAGGCCAACATGATACCAAAGCAATGGCTGATATTCCCGATTTTGTGCCAGGCCCTTGGTGCCAAACAAGTCTTCCTGATAATGAGGTGCAGCCTGTAATCTCTGATGGGACCCCTCCAAAGCTGGGATACTGCCAGCAGAGCTGGAGTGAGGAAAACAAGCCCTTCTCTCAATGCCTAGGAAGCACCTGGGGCAAGAAGAGGGGGGAAAGGAGACAGGGTCAGAGCATGGTACTGCAGAGCTGTCTCTTTTCATCTCAAGACAGCTTGTCAGCCCCATCTCTGCACAGAAATCATTAGACCATTCTTTTTCTGTCTGCAGAAAAGGGGTTAATTAGCTGTCATGGCTACTCTCCGCATTGCTAGCAGGACTGCACTTCAGCTGCTGCTGAATCCCTGCTGCTGAGTCCCTGCTGCGCCCCTCTGCCCTGCCGTCCTCACGTGGAAAAGGAGGAGCACGAGGAAAGAGCGATAGCACAGCATGATGCAGTGAACTAGGCTAACAGATACATAGCAACACCAGAGATCCCTTGCTGTATTAGGAGCAAACTGCATTCAGGATGTGTCCATCAGTCCAGGTGTGCTTGCTTTTTGCACTCCATACCTGACCTCTTTACTCCTGAGGTAGCGTCTCTTCTGCAGTGAACTGTTGGCCAGGTACACATGTTCCAGGCCTTGCAAGATGTTGAAAACTGCTGAAAATCTGTCTAGTGAAGGACCATGTTGCAGTATTTGAGCCTGTGTTGTGATCAGATATTGCTTCTATGGTCAGTGAGGCTCTCTGCATGGCAGTAACTCCAGCTAGGTCCCTCTTCTCTCATCAAGCTTCTCCCCAGGTCTCTTGCAGGCCCGTGCCCTTGCCTGCCTCTCTGCAGCCTACGCTGGCATTCCTGTGGTTAGAGTTGGTAGGGGACGAGGCACTCTCTGGACAGACACTCCCAAAGCCTGGAAGTCGGAAAAGGAGTCCAAGCCCAGCTTTCTTGGTCATTTGGCTGAACAGTTGGCCATGTGCTAGCAGGGAAGGCGCCAATGACAGGTGTAGTCAGTTTGTTCCCATATCCCTGCTGTAGCACAGGCTGTGCTCCCCTAGGACATGGGTGTGTGCTGCTGGCTTCCTGCAAGGCCTAGATCCAAAATTGGATGGTTGGGCGAGGTCTAGGGAAGGGAAAGGTTAGATTCCTGATGTTGTGGAGCTACTGGTCAAAGCCCCTGGACAGTTTCCTATAGGAAAGAAGCACCTTCAGAGCTGTTACCACAATATATGTAGGTTATATGTATATGGCTTCAGAATGCAGAGAGATTCAAGTAATTATGAAAGAAATGCAAGAAAGCGAAGATGTGCGTGTTGTACCAGTTCCACTCTACCGACTTCACTGGCTGGGTCTGGCTGGACTGTTTAGCTGCAAGGAACTGAACTGACTGCAAAACAGAAGCAGCTAGGAATATAAGAACAAGGGACAGTGAAATGTAAGGGAGAGTATTTACCTCTAGACTCCTACAGCATGAACGTGACAGGCTGGGCTTTATTCTTTGTTTTGTTTGTTCAGCTAAAATGAAGTTTTGGCCCACTTTTTTAATCTGCCCTTCAGTGAGTGACTGATGCATGCCTGGTAGGACTGGGATGGCTTTGTAATTGCCACGTGGATGGGCAAAAAGAAGAGGCAGAAGAAGAGTGTAATGCCTTACCCGTTTAAATTGCTAGCTATGCTGCTCATTAAGTTTTAGCCATATACTCCAGAGCAAGTTTTTGATTACTGACCTGTTCAAAAAGGCATTGCCAAAGGCATTGAGTTTCCTGAATGGTTTTTTGGGATCCACCACCAGTGCATTTCCAGGAACAATTCCTTCCACATCTCCTTGCATAACCGCTATAAAGGAGTCAGTTGTAGGCTCTGGTCCAATCCTCATTCCTGGGAAATCCTGCTCCAGCAGGTACCTGTAGGTGAAAAAAAACAGGGTGTGAGCATGACATGAGATCTGCCTAAGTCCTAATTGAGTTGTCCTGAAGATCCCAGTGAGATTACGTAGCTAAAGAGTATAGATCCTTTTAAGAATATTTTTAGCACTGTCACTGAATTTTTTGATAGGTGTCACAGTAGCTTTTCTACTTGGGATCTCCACTTTTAAAGCTTTTGCATTTCAGGAGGATTAAAACAAATGAGAAGATTACAGCTGCTGGCAAGGGATTCTCATCATGTTTAATCATTTTGTGTAGTTTAATCTTCAAGACATTTAGAACAAACTTAGCTTAGTGAGGTAAAAACAGCAGTTCACTGCTATCAGAGAGTTAATCCTGAAACCTTACTGGCCTTTGGTGCTGATATTACTTCACTGCTGCTCATTTCAGCAGAAAACTCATCCAACTGATGTGCTTAGCCCCCAGTCCAAATCAGTCACTCAAAGGCCAGCTTCTCCTCTACTTGGCTGTTGAAGTCTCCACTCCTTCCTGCACACTCCTGTAGCGCAGCTACAGGTTTGCTGTACAGAAAAAGGAAGTCTGGAGAAAATGTTCAGCCTGTTGCTGATCACCTGGCCTGCTGACAAGCTCTGGATTGTTACCTGAGGAATGTGTGACTACCAGGCTGTAAGAGTTAGTGTTGCATTGTGTTGCTTGTTGACATCAGATAGCCTCTTCTCTCTGTTAGCCTCTTCCTCTTCTGTTACTTTAACCTCATTTTTATGACGAGCCAGAAAGGTAAACACAAAACTGAAAGTGATGTTAAAAGTGGTTCTGGGGGAGGGGAAAAAGGAGAGGAAGGGAAGGAGTGGTGATCCTTGACAACTGAGATCAGCATATGCAACAGTCAGCACTGGTTCACTCACCTGAGTCTTATCAAAGTTCCTACGTGAGGAACAGGACCTCTGCTCTGGCTTTGTACTTTGCTTTTGGTCTAATCCTAAGAGTGATATACAGGTGAGCATTCACCTTACCTATAACAATGAATCTTTTGAGTTCTCTCCTTGCAAATATTAGAAACAAAAGAAGCAGGGAGTAATAACAACCATTAAGTGCAACAAGTAAGGTGCATTTGAGAAACACCTTACTCCATGTGACAGGTCTCAGCCTTGCTGAGACAGTAACCCACTTATTTTAGAGGGGTTTGAGATGCACGTGCAATGACACAGCTTTTGAGCAACAGGAAAAAAAAAAAAAAAAAAGCCTGGGGTTTTTGTTTGTCACTTACAGACAAGGCTTCTGAGAAAACCCAAGCAAAAGCGCTGTATATAACACTCCTTATCCAGCCAGGCTGACTGGAAGAATTTTATTGCAGCTCCACTGAGCTCATGTTTCAAAGCATTTATTTCTTGTATACAACAAAACATATCTCAGCAAACATCCCAAACTATGAGAAAATGTTAATTGGCTAAATGTGCAGCAAGCAACATGAAATCAGAGAAAGATTGGCACTGTCTGGTATCACAGCCTCTGTTTGAAGTCAAGCTTCTCTGGGGGTTTGGGTACATTGTGCAGGAGGGCGTCTGCGGCACTCAGCCTCATTGTACAGCAGTCAAACACAAGGGAATTATTGACACTCGTCTGGGGAGGGGGAGGCAAGCTGCTGCTAGGCAGTGACAGAGGCTGCCTCTGCTAACAGAAAAGCTGAAGAACACGTGATTGTTACATTTGTGGGGTTCCTGGGAGAGGACAGCAAACAATGACTGTGGGAGACACCAAGTGAGAACAAGCAGCAGCTCCAGAGCAGTTTCCCCAGGCAGAGCAGTGTGCTTCACTCTGCGCTGGGTACGCCGTCAGAGATCTGGGGAACAACCTCTGACCAGGTTAGGAAGGTTGTGGAAAGCACCAGGCAGGAGGCAAGCATCTATTTACAGCCTATCTGCTTTTTGGAGAAGCATCTGGAGCCTGTATCTGATTAAGAGAATTGCTCTGCTTGCCCCCCTCTCAGAGCTGTCCCCGATCCTGCTGAGAAGGTCAAGGGGGAAGGGCGGAGAAGCTGCACAAGGGCTGACCTGGCATGGGGCATCCTTCCCACCAGGTTTGGAGTAATGTAGAGCAGTCCGGCTCTCCAGGCAGGAATGCCTCACAGGATGTGGGGGAGGGAGCCATTTGCTAGTGATGAGTCACGGAGGAGCCCTGCAGGATGCTGTGGCAGCAGAGGTGATGCATGCCGGAGAGGATGAGGAAAGGGAAGAAGGGGAGAGGGGGAGGAAGTGGCGAGAGCTGCCCGGTGGAGACCGAGATGAAAGGTTCAGGGCCACGCAGGGAGGTGACAGAGCCGCCCAGTGCACATGGTGACAAGCAGGCCGGAGAGGCCAGGACATGTAAGCCATTAGCTGTACGGGAAAGGAGTGGCTACACCACAGCAGCAAACCACGCTGACAGTCAGTAGAGCTCGGGCTGGCTTGTTTATTTTATTAACAGGATGGCTGGACAGAAGCCAGGATTATTTTTAGAGAAGATCACAGAATCTAAGTGAATTAGGGGAGTAATGTTCTGTCCTGCATTCCCATCCTCTTACAGGAAAGCTTAAGAGCAGAAACATTAGATGCAGGCTTCAGTGGCATCCTGCTGTCCCAAGGAAGTTAGCTGCGAGATGTTCCCAGGCAGAGGTGTGGCCCCGCTCCCAACACCCAGGCCTTCCAGAGCCCAGCCCTGCAGAAAGGACTTGGCTAAAAGGATGCTGACAGAAATGGGAGCAAGGAAAGGGGATATTGCAGTACGCAGGAGTGGAGAACTGTCAGTGTCACTCACACTGCATCTCTCACACAGAGAAACAAGGCTCAGCTCCCCAGGTCTCTACAAGGAGAGAGCACAGCATTGTTTAGCCGGTGTGCTGGTCTCACTTCGCTGCCTCTGACCCATGCAGCTCACCTCCCTCCACCCCCTCAGCCTCCAGGAATGTTTCTCAGTGCCCTTGACTGCTTTGCTTCTGCCACTTCCTCCTGACAGGAGGGCTGCCTCACCACAAGAAACTGTGCCTAGGTGCTGTCTGAAGAAAAGTTCTGGCTATTTATTGCCTCAGAAGCTTGTGTTTCTTCCCTGCTTTGCCTCAGACTCCACAGGAACAAAGGAATGAAACAAACCCATGTCTAGGATAGGTGAACAAAGCAATGTTTTTGTTTTAAAATGGTGCCCTGGGATTCAGTTGTAAATTGAGATTGAGTTTGCTCCACGAGTGCTTAGCAGCAGTAATCAAAATCTGTAAGTTGCATTGCAGTATGCACAGGATGCAATAAAGGAAGGGGACACGTAGGGAAAAATGTTAAACGCCTCTCATCTGGACAACATTTTATGGAAGAGATGCTGAGAGATTGTTTCTTGTCTCACTCTGGTACCAAGCCATACTGGCTGTTCCCCCTTTCACCTCCTCCTCCCTGCTCCTAGTCTTTAACTCCTACTCACCATCCCATGGTAACTCTGGATGCTAATCTGCTGTTTATCCCAGCTGCCTAATGACCAGCACCTGCAGGCTCATGCTGGAAGCCTATCACAAGCAGCACAGCTTTCTGGCACCTCCTGCCTTTGTTTGGCTGGGAACAGGCTGGAGTGGTGGGCCCTCACACTCCTCCTGCTGTCACAGGCCCACGGGTTCTTCAACAGCTCAACTTTCACCTTCTTAAGCACAATTTTAAATAGAAAAAGCCTCCACCTTCCTGCAAATGGCTTGCTCATGGCCATTTTGCACTTCTGCAGAGCACTAGCTCCTAGTCACTTCTTCTTGACTGTAATCCCTGGGTAAACGCATCCCTATCTGTGCACAGAGGGTCTGGGAGAAGAGGGCAGAGGCTGGTTGAAGGATGGTTCCCAACAGCTTGCTGAGCAGAGAGCTGAGGGCTTTCTGCCTTCCCACAGAAGTGAGGGCTCAGCTTCTCCTTTTGCCTGGAACATGATTTAAGCAGCCAGACTTCTGAAGAAAGCTTCAAAACGAGCCCAGGCTTACAGAGAAATGAACAGAAGGGGGCAAAGGCAGGAAGACTGCTAACAACAGCATGCAGGTGAGACTGCAGGGAAAAGCTGATGCTGGCAATCCAGACAAGGATTTGGAAGGATGCTCTAGTTACACAGCCAGCAACCTCAGGAATGGATATTCAGCAGCCTCCTCACATTCAGGAGAATTTCTGCTCAGGAACATTATTAACTGAAAAAAGCCTTTCAAATAGGTTTGGTATCAAGTCACAGAACAAAGATTTAGGGTGGAACCAGACAGCTATGCTATACAAGACATTTTTTTCATTTTCAGAAGAGCAACTCCCTTTCCAACCACATGTCAAATGCTTCTGAGGGTCATTCACATTCCTTCATCATATACCTGAGCTGCTAACACGAGAAAGGCCTTGTCGTCGCTAAATTTCATTTGTCATCTGCATGTCTGACAACATAGCAGAAATGCATGCTTTTCTTGGCTCCTGAGTGGTGCAATAAGTAACAGGAATATTACACAAAAACACCCTGCTGTTTCTCAAGGTCACTTCTGGAGGGGCACTGTCAATTTGATTCACTTCTCTCTAGAGCTCCTTCCTTCAGTGAGAAGTGCCGGTAGAACAATGGGACTGGCTGCTTGTGGCCTCCGTCCAGATTTGCACTGGGGTAATTCCGGAGATTTCAACACAGCCACACCAGAGTTACGCTGGAATTTAACGCTAAGCCCATGAATCACGTAGGAAATGCAGACAGCACAGCTTCAGCTATGATCCCCAGAGAAAGGCTGCTGCAAGCTGAGCTAGAACTGTCTGAACAGAGATCCCAGCAACAAAGTCCAGCTGGAAAAGTTTAACCCTTTTACAGCTTCATATCAAATCTGCTGCTGGCAACTGCTTCGCTCTGCAGCTCAGAGTGAACTTGCTGCTCCCGCTATCACAGCACATCAGGACACAGGTCCTTCCTATACAGGCACATGCCCGAGCACACGTGCTTCTCCAGCTAGGATCCCCGTGCTGCCTCTGGGCACAGTACAGAAAGAGAAAGAAAGGAGAGACACAGGCCAGTACAAACCCAAGAAGACACTTCAAGTTTTCCTAGGTGGTTGCCACAGTGCTTGGTCAGCGGGGAAATTGGAAGAAAAAGGTCCACAGCAGGATAGCCTGAACTGAGCAATCACAGGGATTCCCCTCTTTGGGGCTTTCCACAGCTTTGCACTCGGAATGGACAAGAGGGCCTGAAGTGACTCATTTCCCCGCAGTAATGCCCTGCCCTGGGCTACTTCTTGCCACACTGACGTTTCACCAGGTGCCTCACCCACCCCGTCCTCACGAAGCAGAGCCGCTGAGGCTCCTGCAGGGGCAGCCTCCCCACCCAAAAACCATCCAGACGTTACCTGATGAAGGTGGTCTTCCCCGTGGAGTACTGCCCCACCAGCAGCACCATGGGCTTGTTGTCGAAGTCGGCATCCTCCAGGGCGGGCGAGTGGAACTCGTGGAACTTGTAGTGCTCCTCCAGGGGCAGCAGCTTGGTCTTGTAGAGCTTCTTCAGCCCCTCGCTCACCGTCTGGAACACCTCGGGGTCCTTCCTGCGCCGGTCATCGGTGCCCAGCCAGCTGAACATCTTGGGGCCGCCCGAAGCCAGCTCCGCAGCGACAGCCGGGGCCGGGGCCGGGCAGCGCAGGGCAGGGGGCGGTGCGAACGGGCTGCGGGCAGGCGTTACCCTCGCATAACTCCCTCAGCAAGGCTCCAAGCGGCCGTTAGCGGCGGTTAACGGCTCGGCGGGGCCGCCGTTGGGCGCCGCTTCAGCCCTGCGCCAACGGCTGCCGGCGCGGGCATGCCGCGGGGACGGCGCCCTGTGAGGGGAGCGGCGCGAGGCGGGCGGCGGTTAAGGGGGGCGCCCGCCAGGAAATGGGCCGGCGCCGGAAGTCGGCCAGTCCTGGCAAAGCACCGCCCGTGCTCCCCCAGCGGGTGAAGCCGCGCTGGGCGGCGCCATGTTGAGGCGCTAAGGGGTGGGAGAGCCCCGCCGGGCGCAGCGCCCCCTGGTGGCGCCCCCGCTCCCCGTGCCTGTCCGCCATTTTAGCCCTCGTCTCCCTCGCATAGAAGCAAACGCCCGAGTGGGCAAACGTGACAGGGAAGCCGCTGTTTCTGAACCGAAATGTGCCCCTGCCGCCCACAGCAGCTCCCTCAGTGCGTGGCTTGGTCCTGAAGCACAGCACTTGCTCAGGCTGCCCATCAGCAAGTCGTGTTCAGTCACTGTTAGCTGAGCTGCACCTGGCAGAGCTGGTGTCCAGCAGGGTGGCTGCCCTCTGATAACCAATGCAGGTTGATAGGGATGGTCTTGAATCACAGAATCATCTAGGTTGGAAGAGACCTTCAAGATCACCAAGTCCAACCTCTGACCTAACACTAGACCGTATCACTCAGCTCTACATCTAAACATCTTTAAAAGACCTCCAGGGATGGTGACTCCACCACTTCCCTGGGCAGCCCATTCCAATGCCTCACAACCCTTTCTGTAAAGAAGTTCTTCCTAATATCCAACCTAAACCTCCCCTGGCACAGAGGCAGCCTGCACCTGGGATAACTCACTATTCATTTAGGTGAGACAGACAAAGTAGTCTCTGTCCATGTTCTTTTATTCCTTCGCAAATTAGGGTGAGAGGAGAGCTGAAGAACAAATGGTGCAGTACTTGCCTGTGGCTGGGCTTGTCCCCAGGACTGCCCATCTGTAGTGCCACACTGCCCTGCTTTCTTAGCTACAGCTGGTCCTCTGGGATAAAGCATTGCAAGCTAGGAATGTTTCCTGAAATATCTCCAGGCAGCTTTTCACTTGAGTTTCTCCATCGAGTCCAAGAAATGTGGCAAGAGGCAGTTCTGGAAGAGGTTCCACCATGTCAGGGGTCCCTGCCCTTTCCCAGCCATTTGTGTCCAGCACAGGCTGGGAGGAATTCAGCTCTTGCAGGAGATGAGATGCAGCTTTGCATTAAAAGTGGATGATTTTCAGAGGGGAACACTAAGGTACTTGACCTTACTGTTGAATGAGAAGAGAACAAAGAAAGGGTAATAAAATAGTTTTCACTGAACGTGTTTCTCCTTTCTTGGCAGCCAGGGACCCTCCTAGGAATGACAGGATTTATGTGTGCTTTTGGGGTCCTTATTTATGCATCTGATTGAAGATACATTTTCACAATTCTGTGATGGGATGCATTTGCACAGATAGCTCTTCCATGAAGCCTGTTTTCTTTTTCTGGAAGAAAATAGCAAGTTGACTGTATCTTCTGAAGGTCAGGCTCTTCTGCTTCACTGCCAATGCCTAAAGCTAGCCTGAAATCAGAATTAATATTTTAAAACTTCTTTAAGATTCATTTCTCTCATTATTATTATTTTTTAAATATAAATAGACTGAGATTTTGGCTTTAAGAATTTGATCAGTTATTTCTAATGAAAATTCCTGAGAAAGACCCTGTAGAAATTGTTTGGCAAAAAATCCTTGTTTTGTAAGAAAAAGTTGCTTTCATCTTCTAGATGGTTATGCCATTTAAGGAACTTTGCTCCTCAGAGGTTGTTCAGAGGCTCCATATACAGCTGTACACTGCTGCTAGAAGCCATTGCTCTTCAGTGCTTTCTTGTGATATTCTCAGAGCTGACAATAGGTCAGGCCAGGAAGCCTTTGATGGCAAATTTCCCCAGACCACCTTGATACCCTTCCCTAATGCAGGGAATGTGAGAGAAATGTGAGCTTTTATTTCTGAAATACACCACCATATTTAAGCAAAGACTTTAGGTTGTACCTGCAAGTGCACTTTTCATAATGTGTGTTAAGAGACTAACAAAGATTAACAAAGCCTAATGCAGTCACATTTTCATTTGACCAACCAGTGGTAATTTCTGCAGTTCATGTTCTGCTGTATAGTGAGAATGGCTGTAAAAGGTGGCACTCCATTGTTCCTTCTGCTACCTTAAAATTTACTATTTTGCATGCAAACATTTGTTTTATTCCACACAATCAGGAACAGCTCCTCAGCCCAGATACAGATTGCCTTGTTAAATCAGAGGAGCTGGGCTGAGCTGTCAAATGCAGCCTGCACCAATGTTGTCTGAGATAAATCCTCTCACAGAGGGAGTAAGTGCCTGTCAGAGAATTCCTTGATGGTTCAGTACTTTTACCGAAAGTGAAGAATTTCCCATGAATTCTTCAGATTCTTAGTTTAAGACTGAGGAACCAGCCAGTTCATGGTACCTAAGATGATGAGCAAGATCAGGGGAGATCATAGGATAGTGATTTATTGGAAGGAGTTACATTAGATGGCAAACATACTAAGTAGGGTAATGTGCAAAGAATAGAGGATCAAATCCATCCAGCCCACCAGTTCACAGCTTCCATCTAAAGCTTGTAACCTTTGTCTGTTATGCTTGGCTGCTTTCCCTTAGAAATTATGAAACGTCTGGAAGAGACATGTACACACTCTGCTCCACCCATGTCAGAGGACATGGTGGGAAACCGTGTTTATATATATTGCTGACAGTCTAGTTCAGTAACATTGCTGAGTGGAGTACACGTGATTTCCAGGTATATTTTGACTCTTCATATACTGCTGTGTCTGGGTCCTGCTTGTATACAGGACGGAGGCTAGGCAGCAAGCAGAAACTTAAAAATAAGATGTGTGTGTATGGGTTCAAAACATATAAAGTAACTGAATCACTGACTCTCATACACACAGCCAGAACTTCTGGCTCAGTTTCTTAGAAATAAGGCTACATGTTCAGGTAATTTAAACCTCCATTTTTGAAGGCATTATTTTTTCATACTATCTCTTGGTTTCAAAGCTTATTTGTAAGGTTTAACTGTTTTACAAATACCAGACTGAGGTACGAACTGGTAAAAGGGTTACAACGATTTTATCAGGCATTGTGGATGTCCTGCACATGCAAAAAAAGTCAGATCTCAAGTATTTGCTCTTCAGTATAGCTCAAAATATGTCGTTTGCCCACTGGTTCTTTTCCTGGGGAGCAGCAAAATGAGGATTTCTTCATAAATACATGCTTTTACTGTCTGTTTTTATGAAGTGCTGTCAGTGTCCAGGCCTTTTTTTTCCCCTCTCATTTTTGTATTAACTATATCTATCTGTCCACTGTTCATGTTGTTGTAGCTCTGAAGGTCAATGGCTATAAAAAAAGGCAAGGTTTGGAGGGAGAGACAACACTTTTCATCTGGAGAAAAAGTGTACACGGTGTTAGGCACTTAAATCCTTCAGCTTTTAAATTTCTAACGTACAACAGAAAATAAAATTTTTGTTTCCAGGGTTATATTTTGAAGACTTTTCTTTTGTTTGCCCTTGAGAATCAAGCCTTGTGGATCACTGGTAGAGTGGTTTTATAACAAATGAGTGCTCTCTGTGGGAGGACAACATAATCTGTGTTTGTTGGATTTCTCACTGCTGGGTTTCTCACTAAGAATACTTTCTACACTGGAATGTAAAGCCTTGAACACACAGAGATCGGTGCTAGGTTACAATTAAATAGAGCCCCACTTCTCCTGTAGGCGCCATCCCCCTCTTCTGACTAAAGAGAAAAATTTAAAATCCCCAATTTACTTTTTACACGTAATGATCAGGAACTCTTATGGAAAAGACACACCTCATCCTAAAAAACAAGGAGTTTCCAGCAGAACTGAGCAGGGCAAGACTCCTCAAGGGAGATCTCCTCAAAGGAAGAATTTATCCCTGCCAGATATCTTCTGCAGATAGTGCCGTGCCTTTGCTGCCTTCCCTGAATAAAATAAAATAAAATAAAATAAAATAAAATAAAATAAAATAAAATAAAATAAAATAAAATAAAATAAAATAAAATAAAATAAAATAAAATAAAATAAAAAATAAATAAAGTCACCTGTGCTCGTTTCAAAAGCACAACCCACCTGCCCAGCAGAACTACCAGGCCTTGCTGGAGATGTGCTTGAAGAATAAACCCCTGCTCACAGATGAGAATTTCCCTGCTCACACCAGCTCTATTAGAACAGGAACACTGTGAAAGCAACTGCAGAAATTTATAGTGAAAGAGGCTACACATAAATGATTTTCAGAGCTCTCATGTAAGTGGGTGATCAAACGATAGCCAGTGAGTAGTGTTAGCACTGAGTGAACTTACTTTTAGACTTTAATTTAGGCAGGCCTTAATGCTGTCAGAGATGACACTTAGAGTAGCAGCTGTAAGTTTGGAAGTTGGAGTACATACAGGTTTATAACTGTGTTTGAAGCATTTATTGTCAAGAAATAGAACCAACTTCATTCAGCTTAGGTCCAGTAATTCTTGGAGCAGGCAGGGAGAGCAGGTGAAGAGAGTGGGGGTGCTCGTGTCCCTGGAGCAAGCGGCGTGCCAGCAGTTCTGATGATCCGGTGGTGATTCTGTGATGATGGTTCTCATGGTGATAATTCCTCCCCCAGAATTCACGATTTTGATATTTTAGAAAATTTCTGAGTTTCTAGACAGTTCTTAACCTTCGGCCCCTGTCCCATTGCCCACGTACTGTTGTGATGCTGGGGGCTGTTACTTTCACAGGCAGCGGCAGGTGCCTTATCCTCTTGCTGGTCTGTTCTTTTTTCCTACTTAACTGTTTAGTCTAATCTTTCTCGGACTTGTGTTTTCCCAGCCCTCAAGGTTGAGCTTCTGTTGTGACTAAAAACTGACCTGCAGCGAGTTGTTTTCAGTTCTGGAGCGTCTATATTCATCTTGTGCCTGTTTTTCTAAGGCCTTTCCTGCTATCACACGGTTGAACTGGATGTCACAACAGATGCTTGGTACCAAGCTCTGAGCAGGTTCCCATAACAAATGGATAGCAAGTCTTGCTAGCCAGGACAGGCTTCTAGCATGGTTAGATAAGGTCTGTTAGCTCTAGCCTGTTAGTAGGAATG